AAAAAAAAAAAAAAAAAATTCTACCTCTCCCAATTCCTGGGGGGATCCTGGCAAGCTCCCTAGTAAGGGGGGTGGCCTATGATATAAGACCTCATACGGTGAGAATCCTGTCTTCTTAGTGGGAGTACACCTAATCTTAAATAAAACCAAGGGCAGGGCACTTACCCACTGTAAGTTTGTCCCCTGGCATACTTTCCCTAAACTTGCTTTGATAGCTCTATAAATGCGTTCCACCTTCCCCGAGCCTTGTGGGCGGTAGGCTGTGTGGAGTTTCCAGGTGCTGCTAAGGATGTTAGCCATCTTCTGGATCAATTTGGAGATGAATGCTGGCCCGTTGTCTGACCCAATCCTCAGAGGGAGCCCAAACCATGGTATAATATCTCTCAAAAGTGCCCAGGTGACTTCTTGCGCCTTCTCGGTGTGGGTAGGATATTCTTCTACCCATCTGAAGTAGGTGTACACCATTACCAGCAAGTACTTGTTCCCTCTACATCTGGGCATTTCAGTGAAGTCTACCTGAAAGTCCTCAAAGGGCCTTGCTCCATATGACTGGATTCCTGGGGGTACTGTTGGTCCTTGGCAGGCGTTGAACTGGCTATAGGTGACACATCGCTTACTGGTGGCTTTTGCTGGGGCTTGTGCCATCACATAACTGCTTATATCAACATACAAGTCCCAGTCTACATCTATCCAAGGCTGGTCATGCAAGTCAGGTCTGTTAGAGTACACATTATCTATGAATTCCACACAGTCATGCTCAATCTCTCTTCCATTGCCTGGAAGGAGTGTGGCTGGGTCGAAAAATGTCCTTTAGTGTCCATTAAAGTGACCACAGAGTGGGGTACTTTTACTCTGAGATCCTGCCCTAGAGTCAGCTTATTGGCTTCTTGCACTGGAGAGCTGTAGTGGCTAGAGCCCGTAAGCAGGGTGGCCATCCTTTTGCCACTCCATCTAACTACTTAGAGAGGTAGGCTACAGGCTTTGGCCAGGACCCAACCAGCTGGGTTAACATACTCACAACCATCTTATCTCTCTCTGAGACATACAGAGTGAAGGGCTTGATTAGGTCTGGCAATCCCAGTGCAGGGGCAGTCATTAGCCCCATCTTTAGCTGGGAAAGGGCATGTTCCTATTCTCTTCCCCACTCTAAGGGCTTTCCTTCCTCTCCTTTAGTTGCCTCATACAGAGGTCTAGCCAAGATGGCAAAGTTGGGGATCCAAAGATGACAGAAAACGACTGTGCCTAGGAATTCCCAAACTTGCCTTCGGCTTGTGGAGGTGGGGAGGCAACTAATGACTTGCCACCTCTCCCTGCCTAGATTCCTCCCTCCCTGCTGGATAATAAATCTGCTGGCAGATCTGAGTCTTTCGCTTAGAAACTTTATAGCCACATACCTCTAGATGTTGCAATAGGCAGTCTGTACCTTGAGTACAGCCCTGGGGGGTTATCTTTCGCCCAGACCCACAGCCACCACTGGGCCAGTTCAGGCCTCAGTCTTTTCCCTGGCTGAGTCATAAACAGCCTCCACTCCCAAGGCAGACACCAGATCTGATTTGGGCAGTTGTAGCTGCATATTTCCTCTTGGCCTCTTATGGAACACTTCTGGGGGAGACAAAAGGCTTGTTCAGCAATGGCCCCATTGCTCCTATGATGTCAATCCTGTGGTCTGAGAGAGGGGCTACTGGCTGGGTGACTACCAAGTGTTCACTTCCGGTATTAATTAGAAAGTCAATGTCCTTGCCCCCAA